TATATGTAAATCTTTTTCGTATGGTCCCGGCATAGAACAGGCCACCCCTTCCTTTCCTGTAAGTGTTGTAAGAGACGACTAAGGGAGAGCAAGGGAAAACATATTCAAAGTCTAAATACGGTTGCCAATACCCCCGCCAAGCGTGTCAACTACTGGCAAATTCCCTAGGGGGAGGCTTATGTTCAGGAGTGGACAGTTAAAAAAATATATATTATGTATATTTTGACTATTGAAATGATAGATTATGATTTAGTAAACTAGAATCTAGAATACTAGACAAACTTTTTTATCGCTACTTAAAAGCCACAGGTGTTTGTTTAGCTTTGAACGTCAAAATGGATCACTAACGTTGATTTACTTAATTGGTTAGGCTACGGAAGTCCGGACGACGCTCTAGCGACGCTAATGATAGAAGCGTGAAATTGCTTTTTCGCAACAGCAGAATAATTTATTAGCTACGTACTTTCCTAGATTTGATCGTAGAGTGATTGTTTCAGATTTCCAAATGCTGAAAGTCTTACAGTCTACTATAAATGTCTGTAATAATTATTATGTTGTTGCATTACATTACATCATTAACTTTAAAAGTATTTTAAAAATTCTTACTTAATTCTATCCTATGTTAAATTTTATTGAAAGTTTGTAAAGATGTTTTTCTTGTTTTAGTATTTGTCATTCAATCAGACTTAAACGCCGGATTGGATTCGATTGAAATTTGGTGCATAGATGGAACATACTAGTACATTGTATTTAAAACACGATATTTCTTATTCTAATTAATGCATGCGAAATAATAAGATATACGAGTACCTAACTACTGTTATAAACTTGATACTGATGAACAAACAAATATTTGTTAGGAGATGTTCAAGTATTACGTAACGCAATTTTTGTAAATTTTAACCCTCATTCCCATGTAACGCGCCATAATATTTTTCTGTACCCCTCTCCCCCTCCCTAAATCCAAACACCATCATAACATCCAAATGACCATTTTTACCGAAAAGTCACAACATTATCAAATATTGATAACGAAAACAAAATAAAAATGATGTATAATACAGTCGAGGGATTCCCCGTAAAACATAAATGAATAGGGTTGCCAATTTTGGACATTTTAATTCCCTAGGTTTTTATTTAATTAAATAAAGCAATGTTACGCAACGCATTGTTTAAACCTCCCTTCCGCCACTGTAACGCATTGTAACGTTTTGCAAGACCCTCCCTCTCTTCCAAATTATGTTACGTAATATTTCAACGCTACCTTTCCTATAAGTGACTAGAGGAATAAACCAAACGTCTCAAGATTGTTTTTTGCTAAAGATGGTTCTTTGGATTGATAGAATAGTCACACCGTCTGCGCTATCGGTATACACTGGCGGGGCATTAGTGAATGATAATAAGTGAGAACGAATACATGCCAGTTAGAATCGTGATGAATTCATCAGGAATTAGCCAAAATGGTCTCCAGGGGAAACCATGTAGATAGAGGTCGACATGGTGGAGTATATACTTCATTTAAATGTCTCTGATAAAGATTGTATACTCATCTATATTAAAGGTGTAAAATGGTAGGACCACGATGAAAATTAAGTTAGATCAGTTGACTCATAATACCGAATTCACTAAAAACAAACCGCAATGGTTTCCAGGGAGATCGCGTTAACGTTGACTTGATATGCTAATTCATTTGTGTTTAATACACTTTTCTATATAATGCGTATTGGAACTCACTCGTAATACTGAGTGTCAATACTTTACCAGTCACAATCCTCGAGGCAAAGTAATAATGCAAGACATTATTCAGTTACGTAAATTATATACATACTGTCGTGCATAATCTAGGGGGTGAGCTGATCAATCGATGATCGACGATTAAGATATTTCCAACCTTATTCAGACTAAATAGAATTACTTATATTTTGTTTGGAATATTATGGCTTTATTATGAATATAAAGATGTAAAGACAATAAGTAATGAAGCTTATTGCACACTTGTATGTATTTAAATATAGATTATAAAATCGATAAAGAATAGTAAGTACTCGTATATTCAAGCTTTACGTATGTTGGATCGATATGTTCTATAGAATAAATGGCGACCCAACTTGTGTGCAGTGCACCAAAGTGAAGGCTTCAGTAGTTACTACGCAGGCATACGCCATAGTGCTTTAATTCAATTACACTAAAATGCTTACATTTTAACCGGGTAGGGGAGATTAAACATTAGCTTGGCTTATTATCATGTAATGTAACGAATATAGTCTTGATTCTAAGTGCTGTGAAATCTTCTTATTCACAACCTACACACTCCGAATACCCAGATCAAAACGAATTTTTCTTGAGGCAGAAAAATGTGGACCCTGAATTAATCCCCGACTAAATCTTATTTATATGGCATGCAGCATTAGAGACTTGGTCATTACCTTTATTTATGTATTAATGATAGATACAAAAATAAAGTCTTACCAGTCCTAAATAGTATTCAAATAACAACTATCGAGTTTGTCCAGTGTTCCCTTTGATGAGAAATGGTAACCATTACCTATTTAAATGAACAGCAACTGCAGACATCACAAAATATACTGTCGGCCATGGTACCGCTCGTGCAAAAAGCGTAGCTATTATGTCTTTGTATCTAATAATTTCTTTGTCATATCCCCTATACCCTTTAAACGGATTAACTGCTTGACGATCGAATGACGTGTAAGAGACAGAGTTACATATATAGATTACTTTGTACAAAGCCTCTAGTTAAAATATCTATTTTCAACCGACTTCAAAAAAGGGAAGTTCTCAATTCGGTTGTATTATTTTTATTTTGTTTATTACCTCATAACTTCGTCAATTATAAACCGATTTTGAAGATTCTTTTTTTGTCTCAGAAATTTTCCAATATCGGTTCAGTTGTTTACTTTTTAAATCAAAATATTTATTGGTTCTATTGCAATGAAAGTCGTTTTTTTGTGGAACACAATCTTAAATTATTTATGATTTTATCAGGTTAATATATTATTCATCAAAATTATAGTTTATTAACTATGTCTGCAGTGCGATAACCTTTTATCGTATCTTTATGTCCTCTTAAGTGTTGTTTGAGCCTTATCGTTTGTTTCATTTACATATCGATGTGCTGATTTTGCACAAATAACAAAGGCAATACAAAGTTGTGTATTAAGGTGATTGAGCTGCATACATAAATACAGTACAGAAAGTGTTACAGTCTGATCTAACATATCAGCTTATTATTTGCTTAACAAACACTCGAATGTTTCCGTATCGCAGTATAGTACTTTCACCCAGTTTATCAGTTTTATTGTTCGAACATAATTTCTGTGAGGACCTGGCGTTATCTTCAATGTTTTAACCTGAACGACCTCGTAAATAATAAGGTTGTTAATTGATTACACATAGAGTCAAGAAATCGAGGCTCAAACGTTTGCTCTCTTAATGAAATTGGTTTGTTACACAAAAATATGTTTCCCAGAACAAATACAGGTCAGATGTCGAGGTAATGTTGTGAAAGTTACCCTTGGTAACTTGTTTATTAGTACAATATTTTTAGATATTAAATGACTTGAAATATTTTTCGGATTAAATTCCATTAATATTGATTAGTTATAGCTTCACTTCGTTATTTTTTTTTTAAGTTTACAATATGCGAAAGTAATATTTCTTGTTATAGGCACTGATAATAACTTGTATTTTGTCTTAAACTCTTACAGATACGTATAAACTAATGATAGAATTATGTCAAAATGGTGTGAATTCTCATTATGTCACATAATGTTACGACGTGTTATATAATACAGAGAGAACAAAGGTTGCACTTGTTCAGCTTCCCATGCGAGCCGCGGCACATTGTCCGTTTTCTTGCTACGACATTGTAATACCGCAGTAGTAATACTATCATGATGGTTTTTAACAACATTGTGAACTATCTAACAGTTCTCTTATTGTCTCTATTTTACGCATACACATTTCCATAACCGGCCGTCTAGACAAGTGATTGCTCAATTCATTAATAGCTGACGCTTGATGATTAAACATGTATAATGGCTCCAATGTATTGCGCCTTCCTCAAATCGTAACATATTTATACGAATGAATTCCAATCTGTGTAATAAAACTTAATGTTTTAAATGAATGAAATATTTCTAATTTTATTTCTGACTATACCATGTAATCAGCTTTACATAGGCACTGGATTTTTCTGATATGCTAAATATCTATGAGAAATCAATGCCGCAACGTGTTCAAACTTCATTGTCTGTATTGTTTCTCACGGAAGTAAGTCTTCCCATCAGCGATTATTATTGAATCTGTGCAATTAAATAGTAGTTGCAGACTAAACAATTTATATTTGCGTAATGCTGCAAGGAAAAATAAGAAAAAAATATGTACATGGTAAAATAGAAATTATTAAAATACTTTCAAAAAAGTGAACCAGTAAAACTAAACAGTTTTCTCAATTAAATTGGGGCGAAATTAATTGGGGCGAAATATGATAAATAATTTATAAAAATGGATAAAATATAGAAGCTGAAAATTTTTGTCGTTTTACAACTGCTGTTTATTTGGGATAAATATTCTCTTTCACTAGCAGTGCTTTAAAATGGGTGCTAATTATTTCATTTTTAGTGTTTAAATAGGAACATTAAATGTTTGTACGATCATCAGGATTTTGTTGTCTTCTGATTATATGTTTCACCACGAATCCTGTTAAATAATCATAAATGCGTACTGGTAGATAATACTACTAACATTAAGTTCGCAATTTGTATCATATTTTCCTATGGTTAATACAGTTAATTAAATAAAAATAAACAAATGTATGTATGCTATTTGCTTGAACTGAGTAAAATTAACAAGGTATCCTTCTATTTTATTCGGAGTGTCGCTGCTCTTATGACAACTATATTTTATACAGACCGAATGACTATATCTATAATATATATAGTCTATAACTATATATTAACATTATAATGAAATTTTAACAGATACAATGGAGCGTTGCCGTCAGGCGAGCGTGGTCGACGGCGCAGCAAGTTCGTACTGTACCGACGGCCCGTCGCCAACGGCGTCCGTCGCTCGAAGCACTATGTAGTGAAGACACCACACAGTAGCAAGGCAATACTCGATGCTAGCCAACACTCTATCTCGTATACGCTGAGCCGCAACCAAGCAGTCATCGTTGAGTACACAGAGGACCCCGACACAGATATGTTTCAGGTAAGATTAGATATATTTTCTTGTGGATGAAAGTGGAATAGTAACCCTCCCTGCACTCTGATTTACGTTGAAAGGGTCCACTTAAGCAAGAAAGTCTGGATGAATGAAAATGGAATGGTAACCCCGTCTGCGCTATCTAGATACGCTGGCGGGATGCTAATGAGAAACAATAGGACTAGGATAAAAGCAGATCAGTTAGCCCATTGTGACGAATTCAAGAAAAATATACCACTATAGTTTCCTGCAGGAAGTACGTGATGGTTAACTTAATAGGGCTTATATATTGCTAGAAATAAGGGTGTTTGACTCCATTACTAACAATCCTTTACCCCTTCAAGTAAGGAAGTCAGACTCGTTGGGATCATCGTGACAAATTTATTAGGAATTAATTTTCGAGATGAATCGGATTGAGATCGATCTGGGAGAGTACATTGCTAGCAATGCGGCCGCTGTTCTTACTACTAACAAGTTCTTCTCCCGATTTGACCTAATTGCAAGTAATTGCGACTGTCTACAGATCGTCGGAAAATTAACAGACCTTACATTCATGGTCTATCCTTTATCCGATCTCGACCTTCAATACCATTCCGCTTTTGAGCGGTTGACCTCGGAATTGTTTAAGCAAATGTTTCCCTTACACCTACTGTTCTAAACAATGTATACATTTGAATTTCACATGGTTTTCCGATTAATTAGTACACATCATAATAATGAATATTTTTCATGCAAGCTATAATTATTTTGTAAAATTAGAACACAAACCTACGTGACAAAATGCATGATGCTAGCAGGATTTATTCTCGTAGCGGTGGCAACCAACAGCATATAAGTACTCGGAAATATGGGTTTTCCAAGTTACTTGTGACGTTATGACCACTCGTTAGATATCCGTTTTAATAACGCGAAGTTTGTGTGTATTAGAATTCTAATAAATATTACGCATATTTTAGAGGGCCGTGATTGTTTAAGAAGACTTTGTTTGGTAATATTTTTTCTGGGTATTAAAGAGTGTTGCAACATTTTAAGATAGTGTGTATCTTTTAAGACCTTTGCAATCAAATCACTGAGCTTCTCTCTTTGAGAAATTTTATCAGGTGACAGACGTTTATTTGGACTATAAAGCATTTAAACAATGTGTTTTAATAATGCGATTACTAAATATAGTAGGTACACTTGTTTCATCATATTTTTTTTTAAAATAAGTGGTACAGGCCTACTCTGGCGAGTTATACAAAAATGCCAGTAATAAGTAGAATTGAATAATATTTATTTAAATAAACTTGATCACACAAGCATTTTTTAATATTCAAAGTTTTTATAATTCTACTAAGTACCGTTAGATTCGGAATTTTGTTATATAAGTAAGTAACTAGTTATTGTTTTACAATAACAATTTACAAATTTATCCGATTATCCGAGGATACAAATGACAGTCACAAATTTTTCGATGTAGTTTCGTATAAAAACTAGAAAATGTAGGCGCGTCAATAATTTGCTTATTTTCGTACGGTAATTTTTTGTAGCAAAACGTTGGTTTTGTGCCAAAGTGCCGCGAGATCATATGTCTCCTAATGGAATCGCCTGATACATAAAACTATGTAGATGTTTGTTTCACTGCTATTGTTTCTCGTTTGAATCAATTTGTTATGTTCGTGTAATTTTCAGAATTTGTGCTAACAAAAACGAACACAATATGTTGCTATTGCTTGGTTTGTTTATTTGCGATGTGTGCAATATGGCGCGTGTTTACGCGTTGTCGTCTGGTACTTACTGGCGTAGTCGTTAATATCTAATGTGACCATATGCCCTGTTTTGGCTGGGACAGCTTCATATTTTATCATGGTTTCTCCAAAGAAAGGTTCGACATGCAAAACTATCTCGTTTCCTAAAAAGCACAAAATAATTGTAACACAAATGGTGAAAATTGTAGCAATAGAAAGAATTTCTCTTTAGTGGGTTTAATGACTTGATGTTGACAAACCGTTATTTGCTAACTAAATATATCTACAAATATGACTAAAAGACTCCCTACTTCTTGATTCTTTACTTTTTATTCTATTAAAATTGCAATCATAATTATAATTAAAACGACATCTAAAGTATTTCTATAAAAAAAAATTATAATATCGGTTCACAGTTGGCAGACGATATCAAATACATACATTCACATTCTCAAACAATTAAAAATGTATGTAGTTGAATGAAGCCAAAGTGGGTTAAAATTTAAAATAACTTTTTCCTGTTGCCTATCGTAATTGTAACTATGTCCCGTTCTAAGAAAATATAAATGGTCACATTGTTCATATCTAATCGGCGCCCGGCGCACATGGGTTAGTGCCCCCCGTAGTGAGACAATGCGTTGGTCCTATGCCTACATCGTGGATCACGGAGGATGCAAGTGACAACGACCCTAATCTAAACACAATGCAAATAAACACCTAGTCATCTTAGATCAATAACATCTAGATGGTGTCTCTCTCTACAAACGATTCGACAATTAAAATGACGTGCTGGTAAAATTTTATTATCTTGTAATTGGTTACTTTTATCACACAAACCGTTGTTTTATTTATTTATAATTATTGTATTATCAATAGTTGTACAGTCAGAATGTCAACATTTAAACGTTTAGTACGAAGAAACCACGTGTAATCAGTTTGGGAACTGTTTTTTGGGATGTTTTTTGATACTCAACACTACATCTAGATATCTAGACGTACATGATCTAGCCAGGCAACCTAATAATGGATAATGTCGTAAGTAATAGCGTCATATCAGGTTTATCGTATCGTATTCGGAAACGCGTAGGATGAGCGATGACATGATTTATTTCTATTTAATGGGCGTGCTTAAGTAGGTTGGAAAATGTTTTACGCATCTACATCCTGTGCGTATCAAAAATATTAGATCCATTGGAAAATCTGTACTGTTACCATGAACTGTTATAACACATTTATTGTCAGCTATGAAATATTTAATTTATCCGCGTAAATCAGGATAAAAAGTATCCTATTTGCTTATCTAGACTACGGTTTATATCGTCATAGTCGTAGAATACTGACGGATCTGAAGAATATTACATATAAAGATCCGTCAGTATTCTACGACTATGACGATATGTATAATTTCTTTTAAAACCGTCCAGCCATACAGCATTAATACAATCTAACAAACTTTACATTTACAATATTAGACAGTATTGTATTTTGAATTTGTTCACTTCAATTAGTATAAAGTACTTTTTGTATTAAGCTCGGATATGATCTATTTGTATATTAAATTTTATTCAAATTGTTGAAGTATCCGTTTCCCAAGGCTTTGCCCTTGGAAATCAGTATATAAAGTATCTTGCGTGTTAAGTTTTGGATATAACTTATCTCTATACTAAATTTCATTCGAATCCATACAGTGGGTTTTGAGTGAACTAGTAACAAAAATCTATCCACGTGACTGCACATGTTTACAAATTTTATAAATATTTACAATAGTAGTGGAATAATATTAGTGAAATTCTTATCGTGTTTCTGTAGAAGGATGTTTATTTACATGCGTTGTCCGCATTTTCCGGAGCGCAGTTTCAGGACATTGTTCCTAAATGAATACACGCTTTAATTCCTATGGGGCACGGGGAGCAAGTTCGTTGCCGCCGCGGTCGTCGCACCGCTCCACATCCTGTTCATTGGTCGCCACTTCATTGTTGCCACTGCTAACCGCAAGTGCACCGACACACTGATATCATAAACACACATAAGCTGTTTTTTTTATACTTGCCCTGTTTAGTAAAAAAAGCTTTGTGCGTGTTTTTAGCGATATGATTGGGTATGAAATAAACAGGTAGAGTAAAAGAGTTTTTGTGTTAATTGATTGTATTATTGTATGTTTTAAATTTTTTTTATAAAATTTATATATGAAGAATTAAGACAATTGCTCTGCAATAAAAAGCTATATCAATCGTGAACACATACACCGATGAACTACTTACTAGATTTTTCATAGATAAAAATATTTGAATTTAGAATGTAAATTCGCGCGTTAATTAGATTTTGTTTCGTAACAAGCAGTTTTTTTTGTTCCGTAAAGTAAACTGTAGTGTCAATCGTCTCAAGGTTACGAATTGAAACCGTTATTTTGAAAGTACCTAGTTAAGGGATTTTTTTTTTAAATAACATCTAATGTATCTCTTTCTTATAAAAATTGTCATACTCGTATCAGTACAAAATAAAAACATGACTGCGTAGATTGTTTACGTTTACTAAGTTACCAAGTATAAAAAAAACGGATTATAAATATTTATTACGCTAGGACGGATGCGCACCCAATATAGTATTCGCGTCGTCATTGTTTATCGTGTTGACGAAATGTTGTTTTTAGGTTCCGTGGGTATGTAACGGAATTTGTGACTTTAGCATATCGTAGCCCTGTGTCAAATATGAAACTTTACAATTACGTTGTAATTTTTCATATCGGTCATATTTGTGGTTGTGTTTGTTTATCCATCTATATCTATACTAATATATAAAGAGGAAAGTTTTCTTTTGTAATGGATAAACTCAAAAACCACTCGTCCGATTTTCAAAATTCTTTCACCTATAGAAAGTTGCATTATCAGCGAGTAACTTAGGCTATATATTTTTTTTCAATAAATCTATCTACTCGCGTAACGCGTACGGCTGCTCACGTAATCCTGGAATGTGAGGCTGTGGCCCATCAACGTTTAGAAATCCTCGGAACGGTGAGGTCGCTCCGTGAGGCCTGTGAAGAACCCAGGAAGCTTCTGCGCTTCTGGGCGGAGCTAGGTTTGCTGTAGCCACGACTCATACGCACAACGGCCCAAATGAGAGGCTAAGCGCGGAAAATAGAGTCATTTTCACATTCACATTCTACTCGCGTAAAGTTAGACCGGAGCTCGAGTCTGTTCATATATCATAGCATTATACAAACTTACAGCTTATATTCCATGCATTTGAAACTATATACGTATTAATTTTTGGTATAAAAAC